GAAAAGGGTTTCTGTGCCCCAAAGTTTGTCTGCTTTCTCCAGTTTTAGCATCCAGTCTAATAAGAGAAATAGTTCTTTAGTACAAGCCTTATAACCGCATGTCATTCAGAAAAGTTTAGCTAAGAATTAAACTAAACATCAAATTTGGCTGAATGTGTAATGAATAAATAAAGCCTCTTTCTTTCATGTACCTGTGCCAAAATCAACAAGCTCTATTAGCTGATGAAATAATGCTGACGCCAAACAAAAATACCCCTGACCCATCAATATGGGCTAAGAGCTCGGCCTGGCATCAAAGAGCGTTGTCTGAACAAGAAATACTGTCTCGACACCTCTGGGGGAAAAACAAACGCTCCCACCCCGGCGGTGAGCTGGGCTCCCTGTGCCGCCGGCCACGTGCGGGGAGCTCTCACCGGGCGTCAAGGACGGTAGGGGATGGCCACTGGCTCGCAGGCGATCCGCTCCGCACACCTCCCCTGTGTGCCCCACCTTGCTTTGGCTAGAACGATTTGGAAACCCCTTGAGCTGCAAACCTGTTTGGAGCAGGGACTGTGGCTCTGGTGTTTGCTTGTTCCCCGCCACCCACCCCGTGTGTAAATTGCCCACAAAACCTGCATTTTTTTTTTTTTTATCACGTGTGCAAAACGCCAACGCTTGAAAGTGAAATTCTCAAAGGTCGCTGCTTGGTATGAAAGAAGTGCTTCAGCATCTCAGAATATCTCAATGCCTGGGAGAACCCTGCCAGCTGTGCCATCCTCCTCCTCCTCCCCGGGCGGGTGGGATGGTGAAGTAACGCTGCATCTCCCTCTGCCCCACGCTGCCTGCGCAGCTTTGCCATCCCCCAGCCGTGCCTGTCCTGCAAATTGAAATCTGCATTTAGCCGCTCCGTGCCATGCCCTGGATGTGATCTTTGAAGTCTCGCCCTTCCCTCGACATCCTTGGTTAAAAGATTTGTTTCCTATTAGTCTTCAGTCATGCTTTTAGATTCATTCAGGCTTTTATTTACTTATCCATCTGTCTTCCTGCTCCCACCACTCCCCCTGCCCTGCTAGAAGGGAAAGTACAATTCATTTTTCAAGTGACCCTGCCAGAAAGGCATTGACATGAATAGGAGAAGGTTCAGAAACTGGAAAAAGCAAAACCCCTGACTTTAATAAGTAGCAAGCCGCTTCCCAACCAGAAGGGAGCTGCCAGATGTGACCAGAATTGCTGTAAAACAGAAAGCATGACCCTCCAAATAATTCCTGCAATCCCCCAGACGCCTCCTTTTGCAGAACTCTCTGTGAGTGATGCTCAAAAGTCGTTAGAGCCATCGCATGCGACCCTATGTGTGATGCCTCCCCGGTACCGGTACAGCCTCCTGGGAAAGACCCGCTGCCTTACAGGGGTCTGACTTTCACCGGGACCCTCCTCCTCTGCCTGCCCGCAGCCATGCCCCGCACCGGGACATCGTCCAGCTCCCTCTGGTCTGGCTGCCTTAAGCATGGCGGGATGTTTGTGTGTCTTTAATTTTGATTTCGGTTGTCTGAGGAGTGCAGGCGTCCTGCCGGGCTGTGCTTAATTCTGAGTAACATTAGTTTAACTGCACGGACGGTACCCTGCTGTTTTGAAAGACACCTAAGAAAGCAATATAGTCACCGTAAGAACTTCTCTGCTGGAAAGCCAGGCTCCTATGAGAACCCACTTGTTACATAAAAATAATTAAAACCTGAAGAGAAAGGATAACAGGACACTGAAAGGCACCCGAGCAGGTTGGCAGGCAAGGAGCTTGGCAGGGTTCATCCCAGCCACCAACCCTCCCCTCTCGCAGCAAGGGCCAGGGCTGGGAGGTTGTAACGATCGGCGGGCAGCGACATTGATTTTTGTCCAGCGCTTCCTTTGCGCAGGGGTAGGAAAACTCCGCTCTCATCCTCTGCGGGCTCCGCTCGCCTCTCTCTGCATGTCGATAGGTGTCAAGTCACCACCCGGGACGGGCGATGGAAAGGCCATTTCTTGCTGATTCCACTTTCTACTGACCATAAGGGGATGCTCAGCAGTAAACGGCCACGTGTCACTCTCTGTGACAGAGCCCGTGAAAATTGACCTTGATGGCCTCCCAGCACACACCACTCGGGTCCTGTGGCTGGACCGGAGCCGGGATCTCTCCTGCAGCCATCTCCTGCGCTGCACTACGGGCTGGGTGGGCTCCTTGCTCCCCTCAGCAGGGCTGCTCTTTGTCTGCTTCATTTTTAAAACTCTTTAATCCTCTGGAGAGGACAGCGCTGGTGTAAGACAGGAGAGAACGAGCCACAAATAGAGTGGGACTTCATAAACCTATCCCCCAAAACCTAAAAAATAACTTGCAATGTATTACTCCTGTTCTTGGCTCGACTCTTTGTAAGGGAGTTGCTCGGGGGTGTTGCCGTGAGTGCTGGTTTCTGTTTCGGGAGATGAGAGCTGGGCCAGGCGTGCGCCCCGGGGTGAGGCAGGGACAGAAGGCAAATCCATGTTTTGCATTTGTGTAGCTCCCATTCACGGCTGTACACGGTGTTTGCAAGTGTTACAGCACATGGCAGGCGTACGCTACGAGGAAATACTGCCGGTGCCCAGAATAGAAAGATTTTAGCTCAGTATTGACTGAATCAAGAGATGCAGAGAGCTGATTGCAGTTTGTGTCTTTTGCTTCCTTGGAGGTCAGTGGAGCTGAAGTCTGGAGCATCCTTAGGCAGAAAGGGTTTGCAAAGAGCTGCAGTGGATGTAGTGGATAGCAATCTGGTGTTCACCTTTTAACCCTTCTGCAGCCAGTGAGATAAATGGAAATACGGACTAACCCATCAATAGTTCACTGTTTTATTTGCAACCTTTGACTTAATCTTCCTTTTCAAATGGTCTTTTAAAAGGAAAAGCCGCTACTTATCAGGAATTAGTGAAAATGTCTTCCGTGGTACTAATGAGACCCTTTAGGCTGGAGGGAACTGGGTAACTACTGGCAGCATGTTCTGATGGTCGTAAATGTTTGGCATCAAAGCAGCATTTTTCTCTTGGATTTTCAAGAGGTGCCCTGAGCTGGTTGGGCCCAGGGTATTTTCCAGGTGTTTGTGCATTTTCTAGGTGGGAAACAGGCGTGGGGTATACAAGCCTGGATAATGCTGGGAGTAGAAAACAGGACTCCTTCCATTGATTCAGAGGGAGAAGTCCCCTTCTCATTATAGGTAATAGAAGAGTAATAGACTTTCCTAGAATACAGTCCTTGTCCAGTGCTCACCCCAGTGAAACCCCGTCAGCACGGGCTGGCTTGGTCCCTGTACCTTAAAAGTGTGCTTGGACCACTCCTGGAGGACGTTTGGGAGGGGACGTTATAGCCATACTGTTTTGCTCTTTGCTTTGACCCCTGAACTCTCTTTAAGAATGTAAAGCCTTGTGAATTATAAATCAAATGTTCCTGAAAAAGTGCACGGAATGAAATGCAATGATTAATATTTAAGAGAAAATAAGTTAAAGATTTTAACTACAAGGGGAAGTGTCTGTCCACAGAGTCTTTTCATGTGGAGGCTAGAAGAGAGGCAGAACCTCATTTTCAGGGAAGTTTGTGGCTGTCAGCCCAACTGCCTGAGCTGCCACTGTGCGGGGACCACGCTGGCCTCCACCACCTCGCCCCTCGCTCTTACTCGTGCCGAGACGATGTATAAAACCCCGGTGCCAGCGCAGCCTTTTGGGATGGGACTGGTGAACACACCCCACGCTTTAGTGAGCAGAAAGACGTCCTCAGAGCAGCTCAGGTTGAGTGCTCACTGGGGGCAGAGCTTTTCCAAAACCCAGACCTTACCAGCCCAGACCAGGACTTGCTCAGCCCTCCCCTCAGCGTGCCGGCACCATCCCTGCTGTAGGGCTGACCTCTGGTCAGCTCAGCACCAGGATGGGCAGGACGTCTTCTCCCCATTTTGCAGACCAGAGAGCTCAAGGCAGGAGCCACCATTGCCACCCTGAACCGAAATGTCCTTAATACCGGCACCTCGGCAGGACGCTGCCTCTGGCTACCTGCAAGCAGAGTCTGTTATAACAGGTCAAATAAAGAGGGAAACACTTACATGGGTGCAGAACCTCTCCGGCAGTGATTCCTCCTGGATCCACCCGTACCGTCACGTAATCCTTCATCCGCATGGCCTTGGGTTGACAAGCATAAAACTCCCATGACGGGCCATCGTCCGTGGTCACCCAGGACTTGCAAATGTCATACTGTCCCATGGCCAAGGGGAGACAGTGCAAGAGGAGAGCAACCAGGTAGAGCATGGCAGCTGCGGCCAAGTGCGGGATCCCTGGGCGAGGGCAGTGCCGCGAGTCCCGAGGAAGGCAGCTACAGGGCTAGGGGTTGCTCTCGGGATCAGCATGGAAACTCCTCATCTAAAAATGATCCAGTCGAAGGAGATCCAGATGATAACAGCAACGATCCCACTCTGCACGCTGTATTTGGATGTGGAAAGTTTCTCTCGGCGCAGACGCCAACTTTGCAAATCACTTGGTTGGGAAAGTTTTGGCCAGAGTTGCTGATCAGTGGTCAAAAGTCTTCCTTAACCTCATCTTTTCCCCTCTTTTATTGTACAAAAGGGCTTCCAAATCAGCATGAAAATATCTAGAGGTGACTCCAGTCAATCAATAGAAAGATCAAGTTCTGAGTCGCTGATGAAATTTGATAGGAGTAAACTGGAGAGGCCGTGAGATGGTGCCGGATCAGGTTTTCCGCAACCTTCTTGTCTGCCGCAAATGCGTTGCCGTGGAAAGTGCCTTAAACTGTGGTCTGCCTTAAAGAATTATTGGGGCTTTTGAACATTAATGCATAAAATAAATATAGCATCGGGTCATCAGTACAACTCTGACAAGAGAGACTCTTTGGAGCTCAAATTCCTTTCTCCCAAAGGGTGGTTGTGTCAGCATAAACGTGTCGGGAGGCAAGATGTGCAGCGGTCCCTGTAGGATGCCGGGTGGTCAGTGGGTTGACAGGAGCAGCGCTGGCCTCGCTGCTTCTCCCTTTGCGTCTTGCAGCGGTGGCGAGGCGCTGGCAGGCAAGGATTTCTGTCCGAGACTGCCTTTTGGCAACTGAGCATCAAGTTCCCAAAGCCTTCAGCTGCAAGCCAGGCTGCTACCTGAGGTCTCCGCTCTCTTTCATGGTCAGGGCAAAGGAAGAGTTCATTAGCAGGCTGCACCTGCAACAAACAGAAAGACAAATTAGCTGGGAGCAAGGCGGGGGGGGAGGCAGTTGGAGCAACAAGACTTGTAAGAACAGGGGTCCCCTGGGAGACACAGCCCTCAGCTGGGCTTCCCAAGCCACAAGCCAGGTTTTTGTACAAGGGAGATATACAACTTTAATAAAAAGAAATCCATAGTAAGGTGCTTATGGCTTTTCTGCAGTTTGGGAGATGGGAAGGAGCGCTGCCCTGCCTAGGGTATCTGGTTTGTAGCAGCAGCTGGACAACAAGAGCTCTAATGGGTCTTCAAATAATATCAAGAAGCAGCTATAGGTTATTAAAAGATAGAGAATATGCAGACACGGAGCAGGGACAGACAAACAAATTGATAGTCTTAAAAAGATAAGCAAATAAATAAGACAGCTGGGGAGACAGATACATTGTCCAGCATCCCCACATATGATTTATCTGAACAATAACATTTAATAAAAAACAATTTAAAGTCCTAATAACATTTAAGGTTCACCTAATACAAAGAGCAATGACCTTTGCAGTATTCATTTCAGGTTAGAGCAACATTTCTGCAATTTTGTCATCTTTCCAGTAGAGCTATAAAAATCTGAAGTAATTACAAAACAAAATGACAAAGAACTGGGGAGGGGGAAGGAAAAAAAAAAAGTTCAAACCCTCTCTCAGCATTATATCCAGGAGGGAGATCGCATACAAGAAGGTGGGAGGCACGTATCCAGAACAGAAGTTCAGCTCTGGATAATTGCCTTTCTATTTGATTCCCCAACTTTTCTGCCACAATTTAGGGACATCTGCTTCAACAGCATGTTTAGTATTTCCTTTCTCATAAAGCTCCGTTACTAAAGCTCAGAAACGCCAGGTTAACAGATGCATTGATCCATGGGCGGGGGCTTCACACCACTGCCTACCATCTCCCCTTCCCCCCCTTTTTGGTTGAAAGATCGCTGATTGAGATGAATGAGTTCAGAAAAGAGAAGCTCTCCCTCATGCTTCATCGCCAGCTCTCAAAGAAGAGCCTATTATAGCTGCGTTGGACCTGAATAAACTCCCAAAGAAAGAATAGACTGGCTGCTATTTTTACATTATGAGTAAATGTAGTAAAAATAATAAACCAGTGTGACACAGTGTTTGTAAGTCCCGCTGACATCAGAGCTGTCTTTTCACTTATAACAAGTCAGTTCCTAATTATTACATCAAACTGGTCACGGCCAAGTGCCTAATAACAGCGGAAGGCGTGAGACTCCGGTATTGTATAGAAAACAAGCAGGGTAGTTTTAATGAGGACTCCAGCGCTGTTAAGTTTATAGATCTATTTTCATAGCCTTAACAATTATATTTTGCACTTCAATGGCTGTCGGGGAAAACGCAGGAAGAAAGGATCTATAATATCTATTAGTGTCTTGTTATGCTGGCTAAATGTCGAAGACTCCCACAGAAACAAAAATTTGCCAGAAAACATATTTACTGTCAGTCAATCAGCCAGGCGTGCGGGTTCCCTGCGAAGTCAGCGGTGCAACACTTCGCCGGCACGGTCCCTTTGCAGAAATAGTTGCACAGTGTTGCTTGGAAATAAGCTGGCATACTGCAAACGGGGGAGAGAGACTCTCTGAATTAAAGGTTTTGCCCTGCTTGATTTGGTTTGATTCTTAGAAAATAAATCTTCACCTGATATTATTAAGAAACTGCAGTTCATGGGAACAAATAGAATCAATGCTCTTTGTTTTCTTTGAAGTGTACTCAGCAATCACTGGGGACTGATAGCCAGAGTATTAAAAACACAAAATTAGATTGTATCTTGACTTAGCTGGGTCCTTTGGTTTTTTTATTATTGGATTAACACCCTATTGAAATAAAGGGACAACGCTGAGCAACACCCGAGATGCTCTGGAATTAAGAACAGAAAGTAAACTCAATGAAGGAGTTTTCAATTTTCTTTCAGAAGAGTCGCCTT